TTTTTTAAAATGAGGTTTAAGCTGAATTGTAGTAATGATAAAAATTAACTCTTTATAAAATTTTTAATTTAAAAGTTTATTAGTTCTGTTCCATAATTCTTATATTTATTGTAGGAAATAATATGTAGGAAAATGTAGCAACTATTATGGGATAGAGATATTTTCACATAGCTTTCAGTTATTTAAGATTAAATATGATAAAAATGATACATTTATATGTTAAATATAATTATCATAACAGAGTTACTAAGTGAATTGATAACAATGCTCCATTAAATAAAGTCAATTGCACTAACTCTGTTGTCTTGTTTTCTTTCAAAGAAATTTACCAACCTTGGAACTTCATGCCTGCAAAAAAAATAGAATGTCAAAAGGATGTTTTTTTCCACTTGACACTGGTATTATTTTAACTATCTTCACTCCTTGACAATGATTATTGTTTTAAAAAGCAATTGTAATAAAACCTAAACATATGATAAAAGTGAATTTATACATTTCTTTTTTTTATTCTTATGAATTGATAACAAAAATATTAAACATTATTTATTTATTAGATTGTTTATTTACAAGAATAATTTTATATTTACAACATTCTAAGAAGTTAAAAACTAATACAATGAAATATTTATTATTTACCACATCATACAGAAATAAATATGAAGACAATTTTTTATTCATAAATTTATAAAAATTTACTATATAATTAAAATATATGAACCAATTATAAGGAAATCATTATTTACCATTTTATAAAGTTTGAATTGATTGGCAATTAGTCAACCATTCCAATAAAGAATCTCATAAATAAATAAGTAGTAAATATACAATCTAATAAATAAATAGTATTTATTATTTTTGTAGTTAATTCTCAAGAACAAAGAAAATGTATAAATTCACTTTCATGTGTTTAGGTTTTATTACAATTGTAATCATCACTTTTTAAAACAATAAACATTGCTGAGGAGTGAAGGTAGTTAAAATAATAGTGATGTCAAGGGAAAAAAATATTATTTTGACACTGTTTTTTTTGTGAACAGGAAATTCATCCATCAAATTTATCAAAAACTATTTATTACAAAATAACATTGTGAAAATCTAAAAAGTAAAAAATTAAATATATCAAAATTAGAACTTAAAAATCCTTTTATTAAAATATATTTTACCAAGAATGTATGTTTCTATTATTATTTTATATTTTTTGCCACTATTTATACTAGATTCATTTTGATGGGTCTAATCTGATCAATTTAGGTGAATGGTTAGATAATAAAGAATTAAAAGATAGCTACCCTCACCTTGAACAAAAAGTAAAACTTCATTTGTTGAGAATACAAAAAGTGACATCAGAGGCAATATTTTATGACAAAAAAAAAAAATGAAATAAAAAAAAAAAAAATGAAATAAAAAAAAAAAAAGAAAACTTTCTCAAAGCTTTTGTTTAACAGACAAATTCTGACTTGGTCAGTTTGTCCCCCAAAACCTGCTCCAACCTGTTTTTTTAACTTTTCAAACAACCTCTTATAGCAGTGAGTCAAAGATTAAGTTTGTGAATGATGATCTGATCAAATAAACATGCTCAGATCTACCATTGCTCTGCCCTATCGGAGTTAATTTAAGATATTAATAGATCAGACTTTTCACATTGATTTTTCTGTAGTTTTCAGTCTTTAGCTCAATACCAGTTTAACTATAAACTTTGAAAATTATATACATCAGTGATTTTCCAATGAGAAGATGCATTTTTTTTAATATCAAGTGTTTAGGTCATTAGTATCTGATTTATGCACTCAAAAAAAAAAGAAAGAAAAAAAACAAAAAAAAGAAAAAAACACAAAGAAAAAACACCCAAGTTTTGTTTTGGCTTAGGTTTTTATGTTTCTATGACATCTGGAAGTTCTTTATAGCTAGAAATGTACAAAAGAATACATTCCTTGTTTACACATGAACTTTCATGATGAGGCTTTTAATTTTTTTTTAAGGATTTTAATGGCAATGCTAAAATCAGCTGTTTCTTTACAAGGAAACATTTAGCATTCATTGGTTGAACATTTATTACAGTTGGTTGAAATTAATAAAATCTTTTTCTTAAAACAGTTTTTCATGAAAACATGCTTCTCAAGTCCCCCCCTGTTGTTGCTTTTTCTAGTATTGGAGGTTTCCTTCTTAACCTTTTCTTTAAGGTCATGTAGAAAGTCAACATTCTGATTACATCTATTATATTCCCTTCTAGTTACAAGTGCTACAATAGCTGTATTCAAATGATTGTGGCTTTAGTTATTTGGTAATGCTCTTTGTAATTTTGTAATACCAGTTTACAGGGTGTGATGGGTAAATTGTCGGCATTTTATATATTTAATTTTGTTCATGCACATTGTTTTTGATTTTGTCAACTGTACAGTATAGTTGGGTCAGTTGGGCACCATCTGTGAGAAAAAGAACTCAATGATGCAATTCCCTCCATCAAAAATTTGAAAATGGCATACTCTGCTGTGCTGCTTGGAATTCATGCCAGAAGCTCCAATACGGACATTTTAGAGTGTTTGGGTATCAATCTAAGTGCAGAGGATTTGGAAAGAGATGAGTCTAATGGTGATTACGAAGGTATGGCAGAAGGTATCATGCTGATAAGAAAAGAACTCCTGAATTTGTTGATGAGGACCTCAGACTCAACATGGAAGCCTACATCAAGTACCTTGAGGAGGTAGTGCTGCCTTGGGTGAAGAGGGTAGCTGCTGGAAGATCCTATGTGTGGCAACAGGACACTGCACTATGTCACACAAGCAGGAGAACCCAGTCATGGCTGTCAGACAATTTCTGTGACCATATCATCCCTTACATCTACCCACCTAACTCTCCTGACTGCAACCCCCTTGATTATTATGTGTGGCACGCAATTGAGCAAGAAACCAACAAAACTCCCTGTAACACCAAAGATGAACTGAAGGCAAGTATTATTGCAACATTCATCAACTTAAACAAGGAGACTGTCCAGAAGAGTTGCAGGAGATGCTGAAGTCATCTGGAGGCTGTGGTTGAAACCAATGACAATTTTATTGAATAAATTTATTCTTTAGTATTTGAAGATATTTTTTTATAATTTTGGTAAATATATCTGTTAAAATGAGATAGCATTATTTTCATTTTCTGATGGAATGAATTGCATCATGGTGTTCTTTTCCTTACAGACAGTGCCCAACTGACCCTACTATACTGTACAGTTGACAAAATCAAAAACAACGTGCATGCATGAAATTAAAAATATATAATGGCACACCCTGTAGAGATAGATAGATGACTTGAGTTTTAAGGTTAATACTTTGGCTTTGAAGCAGCTTGTGGTGTTGGGACAAAAGTACCCCTACTACCTATCCAATGTTCAATTTCCTTATCTTCTATATTAAATTTGTTATAGCTGATCCATACACTGGTATTTGAAGTGTTTAAAGTTTGTTAATTCTACCTTCTGAACTTTTATGATAGATTCAGGATATATGCCATCACTACTCCCATTCCAGTTCCAGATCATATTTTTTGTTTTAGAAAGGTTTAACTTAAATCCTAGTTCTTGGAACACTTGGTAAAAATGTTGATTTCTTTTATTGAAAACCATTCTTATGCCAACTACAGACCTTATGCCATCAGCATAGCCTCCCCTTATTGTCAGTACATGGGCTTCTGAAGAGAAAACTACTTTTTTCAATAACACTTAAAACTTTAATTACTTCTGTTTGGCACATTCACATTACATAGATATTAAAAAAAAAAATTAATCTTTCAATCCTTGGATATTAAGATTGACTCTTGCCAAAGGATTATATATTTGCAGGAAAACTGTTTGAATTTTTAATTTTGTTATTTTATGAATTTTTGTTTTGCAGTTTTTTTAGATAATAAATACCAGTTCATGGGCCTATTGAGCATTAAGATCTCATGCTTGTAAGAGAGAAATTGGAATCTGCTAATTGGATGCCCTCCCCAGCCCCGTTGCTGTAAGAAGCATTAATGGAATTCCAGTGTCATGCGCCCAAATACTTCTTATCGACCCAATTTCAAAAGAATATAAAAAAAAGCTTCTAAGTAATAATTTGTTATTCAAAGAAAAGTTTCATAAATGTAACAAAAGAAACTTGCTTTGAACGAGGCCGATTAGAATGTGAATGAATTTCCAGTAACATCTGATACACCAAACAATTTATTTTTTATTAATATTCTGGTAATTTAGAGTAGAATTTAATGTAGGAGGCTTGGTTAGCAGCTTGGATTGAGGAATCGGAGAGCCGAGTTCAAATTCCAGTTGAGTTCATTACATTCACTTACATGCTAATACCCTTGGGAAAGGTATGACTATCTCTTCTCCCCCCAGCTATGGGTAAAATAGCAGGACAGACTAGGACCTAGCCTTGGGTGGCAATCAGTCTAAGAGAACAAAACTGAATTAAAACTGGATGGCACTATCCTAAAAATGTGAATACATGTGGCTGGGGACCACTTGTGAATCCAAATTCCCACTGAAAATCCCTATTAGCATGTCCTCGGATGCTGTGTTAAAAGAAACTCAATGTTCTATAGGGGCTGAGAGGAGCTAACTACTACTAAGAGGCAATATTTCAAACTGGAACTCTAGGTCATTGAAGCTACTCACAAAATACAGAAATTGAAAAGAAATTAGACCATATCTGATAGTACTGCCAAAAATTGGTTTAAGCATTTTAAAGCTGATGATCTGTCTCTTGAAATGAAGCCCTAAGTTGGACATCCATCAGTTGTCGATTATGAAGCTTTAAAAGACTAGGCAGACCCAACCATGAGCGCTGAAATTTTCAGAAGAAACATACCATATGTCAAAAACATTATAAAAGTATCAAAAAACATACAGGGGCTCCCAAGAGGATTAAGGAAAAAAACAAAACAAAAACACATGGAAATACTTCTGATACACTAATACATTATTGAAAATTGTTTTCCATTATATATAGAAGAGATACCTAAAAGGTACTTACTCAAATTCTTTAAGCTTGACAGATTTTCCATGTTCCACTTGGTTTTTGACAATTTTAAATCTGGCAAGGAAGATACATTTGCCATCTGTCCAAACCAATCCATGTTTTGGATGAATAGCTGTAATAAAAAATGATTAAGTGATTAGGAATTAGATTAAATTCTTTAAGTGGTGTTGGGGGGGGGAGTAATAAAAGTAATCCTGTTTAAAAGGCAGTATTATTCTTAGGTAAACTATGAGATTTTAAAGTTTAAGAATTAAATTAAAAATTTCATATTACTCTACAAATATAATCCTATCATATCATTCATAAGACTTCCTGAGCTTTTGAACAGGAGTAGAGGTTTATCTCTTGTTTCTTGTTTATGTTTGGGTTTGTGGTTCCTTCTGAAAAGTACTTCAACTCTATACTTTGAAAGTCTCTAGCTAAACTCTAAAATATTATTTACTATTTTTTTTCCTCAATAGGAGTAAAAATGTTCACCTATCTCCAGATTCACACTCCTCTCCAATTTTTGGAACAGGAGTAGAGGCTTATCCCTTCTTTTGTTTAAAAGGAGATGAAAACCAAATTCTAAAGTATTTTATATTCTATTTCATTCCCAGTAGCTACTTGCATCTTAGTGGCATTATCACCTTGCTGGAGATGAATTGATTTAATGGATTTATTTAAAATACTAGCAAGGATATCCAGCAAGAAAAGTACTTACACAGTATAACAAATGAAAAAGTGATTATTTAAACTATACATGGAAAATAGTGGTTAGTAAAAAAAAATATTCTGATGAATAAAACAAAAGATATAGTCCTAAATGTTGACAGTTATTCTGGGTACACAAAATCAGTGCTTATCCTAATGGGCACCACTATGAATATATACACCCTTGTGCAAATTAATTGAAACAACTGCTTTAGTTTCCTTTCTTTCACCATTCGGTCAGTTTTAGATTCACTGGAGTGACAGGGTGTAATAGATATCTATTTTTCCCTCAGATTTAGTCATTTGCAGTGGTGTGCAGTAATATGAATCTATTTTTGGGGTGTATGATGAAATTTATTTGGCCTTGAAAAATATTGTGTCATCCGTGATTGCATAGAGATTTTTATCACACCCAGACACTATTGTCTCAATTGTCAATTATTTGTCCTACAACCAACGTCTGTGATGGACATTACTCCAAGGAAGCATACAAAAATTGTAAGACTACAGAAACACACTGGCAAGCCTTACCAGTGAGCAAATCAAAGTACTATTGACTGCCTGGAAAACTATCCCGATTTAAATCCAATTGAGAATTTGTGGTCAATCTGCAAGAGATGACTTCATGGAATGGATATATGAAATACTAACATGTGCACTGGGTCATGTCTCATTGGAAAAATATAAAAAAAATTAAATAACAGAATTATTTGTTTTGTTTCAATTAATTTGCAAGAGGGGGTATTGTTTGGTGATCTAATTATGGCAAAAGCAGTAAGAAGTCAGACTGAGGTCATCAATCTTAACAAATTGTCCTGCTGTCTTAGTGATGGTCACGGCAGAGCTGAGCCTCACTGGGGATTAAAGTTACTTGAATTAAAAATGCAAGACTATTGGAAATAAAGGGATCCTGGGAATAAAGGTATCCACTTTTTTTGTCTACTCTTGTTAAAAAAGTTGCCCTTCTAATAAATTAGAGAAACTATAGTGAGGAAGGTACCACTGAACAAATGTAAGAGTCAAGATGAGCATCTTTTAATAGAAACCTGTGAGAAGAGAAGAAACATCAGGCAGCTTAAGAGAATTGAGAAACTGAATTGGGCTCTGAACACCTTTAAAGAGATGAAAAGTACTTTGGAAATAAAAGTGATTCTCACTGTGCCTTATTTAACTGTAATATACAGAAAAATATTCATGAATATGAAAGGATTATGCTAAAAATAAGCAAACATAAGATTTGTAATTTATTCAATCAGACATTATATATATATATATATATATATATATATATATATATATATATATATATATATATGTGTGTGTGTGTGTGTGTGTGTGTATGTATCTTTGATCACCACCTAAGGAGATGCCTGAATTGGGGATCAAAAACAAATATGCATTCTTGTAGTGGTAAAATGTAAATATATATATATATATATATATATATATATATATATATATATTTATATATATATATATATATATATATGTGTGTGTGTGTGTGTGTATGTGTGACAATCTGCACTTGTACTGATTTGTTATATATAAACATGCACACCTATATGATCAATTCTCTCACTCACTATATAACTGCCATTTTAACACCAATGAAAGTCATAGAAATCTTTTTTTTTTTTTTTAACTTCCTTCATGGACTCCAAACTGTCTGAACCTTTTGAATGTCCATAATCCAAGATGAAAAGCATCATCTGACCGCAGGTGTCCTTTGGAAGAAGGATTGGTTTAATGTTTTTCACTTGGTTGATAATGAATGTGAAAAGACAGATTATCTTATGTCCTAGCCAGTTTCAGAAAAGAAGAGGACATTAGTCAACAAAAACTTGAAAACTGTGACTCAATTACAAGAAAGTACATCCTCAGATTTCCTTTCAGTATTTCTATAAATAAAAACTCACCAACATCAAATATGAATCAAACAATATTTATTATCAAAGTTCTTCTATGTGCTGTGTCCCTTCAGGACATAGGTGAGCATTCATATCCATAATTTCCTGTTCTTTGTAACACTTAATAAGTTTTGTCTTTTTGTTATCTCTTCTAAACCTTGAATACAATATGGGAACCAGTAATAAGGAGTGCCAGAGAAAAGCGATAATAACAGCAAAAAATTGCAATATGAGCACTGGTAAAAAAACAAAACAAAACAAATGGTTGCTGAAGACATTAGGTTTATAATACTCAGAAATTCATACACATATGTCCTCAAGGACACATGGCACAGTGGATAAAGGCATTAGTTAGATCCAGTGACATTGTATACTTTTAGAGACAAGTCCCATTTTTATCTTGCAGAATTGAACTTCTACAAAACTTTATTATTATTATTATTGAATAACATATTTACAAATTTTCTCTGTTGAAACTTTTTCATACTCGTCACATATTCATTTGAGAATTTGCATGTTCTTATCAAAGTTGTTTAAATGATAAATGTTGTGCAATTATCTTAATATTGCCTCTTTTTGTGATACTTTTGCAAACCAAACCATTTGTCTTCTATATGCTGTCCCTTCAGGACATGGGCAATCCTGGCTCTACAAAACTGCTCTCAGCAGTCCTTTTGCTAAAGCTTCAGCCCACTCCACCATCCATTCATACATGTTCATCAGGTAGATGACTTGCTGCCTGACCTCATATCTCTTGCCCTCAATATGCCTGTTGAGAGTCGTTTTCCAAGCCCACCTTCCTCATTATGTGTCCAAAGTATTTCAGCTATCTTTTCTTGATTCTGAGCATAAGTGTTCTTTTTGTTGCCATTTTCTTTAAGACTTCTTATTATCCTTCTGTAGAACCACATTTCTGTTGTCTCTAAATTGTCCAGCATTCTCTGATGCCATATATCACATAGCAATCCAGAAAATTAATAAAATTTTGCCAACATGCTTTGACCAGAAATTTAAATGAAATGTCAATTGTTATCCTGTCTCTTTGAATCCTGTTCTTTTATTGTCCTTGCTCCTTAATAATGTTTTCTTTTTCGTCATATTCTCACTCAACCCCTTTGCATTTTAATGGTTTTATCACCTCACTTGGAATAAAGTGATTTAAAAAAAAAAAGAAAAAAAAAAGTGGTTTCTTTGCTGATACACTTTCCTGTCTAAGGCCATGTTTGTACCTTTTATAGAAGATTTATTTTTAGTAAAACCATAAAAAGCTGAGGATGACTGATCAAAAACTTTCATGGCTATGTAAAATTGACCAATTTAGACCAAACCCCTAATCTGTTTCACTAGCCATAACTTTATTTTTTATATTTTGTTTTTTTATTTGTTGATGAGATCACCAGAACTTTTAAAAGGCGTGTATGGCTGATTGTTGTTAAGTCATTAAAATTTTTACTAATTTGTAAATTTTTATTGTATTCTCAGATTTTCATCCAACTTTACTCTATAATTTATAGTAATGGAAATTATTAAATATCTACCAAAGCTCAAAATGGACAGCTATGAAACACACATAAATTGTAATGAACAATAATCTCTCAAACACAGTAAATACAACATAGGTATCTTTAAAAAAAAGAAAAAAAGAAAAAAAAAATCTTTCTTGAAGATTCTATCTTAGTCTTATTTCCAAGCTAATAGATTAAATTTAATATTCCTAATGAGTAAAATACTTTGCTGTATTTCAAACAGAATTTGAATTGATTGGAATTTTTTTTTGATTATCAGTAAAATTGCTAAAATCGTTCATATTGACAAATTTGTCAACACAGCATAATTATCTTTATTAAAAATTCTTTCTGAAATTTTATTTGAGGAAGATTAACTGATTTAAAGTTTAACTGATCTATATTAAAACAAATTATTTTTTGGTTACAATATCACAGAAAAGCATTTTTTTAACATGAAGATGGGTGTTTTTAAGGTGTTGATACATCTATCGATAATCTGATGTGTGAGATTCATAAAAGGGGGGAAATAATTGTTGTAGAATAGTTAAATTACAAATACAACAAATGTATTTTCAATATTTTTTTTTTTTTTGAGACATTTTTTTTTTAACTACCCAGTAATCTTAAAAATTTTAAATATTTTAAGCATTCTAATATTTTATTGAATTTTAGATACTTTGGCTTTATAGTCTTATTTATAAAGATGCATGTTGAGGAAATGTAAGAAAATTATCAATAAATTTTAAATTTACAATAGTTACCACTCTTATTTTCTGATAATGTCATGTATGATTGTTTGTATTTACAAAGATCAACATTTCTCTAAAACTAGCTTAAAAGCCAAAAAAAAAAAAAAAAAAAAAAAAAAACTTGGGAATCCAAAATTTCAGGATTGCTGGTTCGGATCTGACCCTAAATGTTTTTAATTTGCTCACAGAGTTGGCCCAATTCCAACATGGTATGATAGGTTGGGCACTAAGAGTAAAGTTGAAAAAATGTGACAC